ACAAAGGGATTCTTTTTATCGGTTAACAAGCAAACTTGTGTCTTCTGGGGGTTAAACTGGACTAGATTTAGTCGCCCCCAATCCGAGACTCTGTCCAGCAGAGACTCGACTTCAGACACAAGTTTGTCCCGGCACTCAGAGACGTTTTCCCGAGAAATATTAGCTCGGCCGGTGTAAAGAGCATCACCAGTGCTGTCATCTGCATAGCAATGACTGTTACGGGTTTGCAACATATCATTGATATGCAGAAGAAAAGCGTTGGCGATAGCACGCAGCCTTGTGCATTAATAGGCTTGCAATCTGAGCTTGCACCGTCTACAATAACCTTGATGCCCCGATCTGCAAGAAAGCTGGTGATCCAATCGCACAATTTTTCGGGAAGCCCATAGGAAGGGAGCTTCGAAAGAAGCGCTTTGTGCCAAACCCGATCGAAGGCCTTCGCAATGTCCAAACTAACGGCCAATGCCTCCCCCTTGGACTCTACTGCCTCCGCCCATCTGTGAGTTAGGTAAACCAGAAGATCACCAGCTGACCGACCACGGCGAAAACCGTATTGGCGTCGCTAATCAGCTGGTGATCCTCAAGGTACCTCATGAGCTGGCAGTTTACAATGGACTCCATTGTTTTGGAGAACAAGGAGGTGATGGCGATAGGCCGGTAGTTGGACGGATCTGAGCGGTATAGTGCTAGTGTACGTGTACGTGTTTAAGAGGGTGTGTACGAGATAAAGAATACAATTTAATGAATACCTTCGGTTACCTAACAATAGATATTCGAGATCAATCCATAGTAAATCAGCGCTGCACTGTCAAAAGATCTTCCGTTTCACCATATTCTATGTAATATGATGTAATACGTGGGTATAATGTTATATAGTTTAAACAATAGAATATAATAAACATTTTTCTCTCATCTAAATCTTATATATTATTATAACATCAATGCTAAAAAGTCTGTGCAATAAAAAAAATGTAAAAAGTTCTTTAAAATTTAGTTTGCAGCTACAGTGGCGCCACACTTATATAACGCTGTCCTACGGACACTTTTTTATACAGTCTGTACTCATTACCTCTACACTCCATACCGTAGACAGAGAAATCTACAGACAAATTGACGCCTTCTTTTACATTCGCACACGAAAAAGATAGATTTATGCATACGTCTTGCATAGAAACGAGACAGAGCGGTGTGATTGTTTGTCCCTTTCTCCGTGCCGGTTTTTTTGTTTAGCAAAGTGTAGTTTGTAGTAAATTTGACAGTTTGTAGCGATCTAAGGAGTTTACAAGTTGGTTTAAGTGAGAAAAAAGTGTTTTGTGAGCTTAAGATTGGTGAATCTTGTTCACTCCAGTTCTTAGAACAATTAAAATTTTATCTAAATATATTTAAGTCATAAAGATTACTGTATAACATAAAACTACGTTATCGTCCTTTCTCACTCGAGGCCACGCTAAACATTGGTCTATAGGTTTCTCTGTCTACGCTCCATACGCTCACTAGTCAAAACATCCATCCCGGCTGTCAAATATCTATTGTCAGTAACTGTCAATGTCATCCATTACGGCGATTCAATTATACATAAACTTAAACTTTATTTAATCATTATATAAACTATCGGGATCATTGGTTCCTATGAATTACTAATATGTGTTGTTTGTTATTTTAAATGAAAACAATATTTACTTCCAGCGTGATATCATACCAGCACCTTAAAGAGGGCATGGGATAACATGAAGGCTTTTACACGTAAAACTCGTGCAGCTGAACGTGGTAGTTTATTTAAATCTGGAGGGGGACCCGCTAAACCTGCACCGTCTCCACACTAAGGAGCCATTGTAAGTATGCGTTAAGATTAATTCTGATGATGACGTACAGATGACGTTGTACAGTTTTTGAATTATGTCAAGATAAGTGTTAAAATTAGTTCAGAGTTCAAACGACGACCTACTGATGGCGTTGTACAAATTTATATCGCGGTATCAAGTGGTTTTCAAGCCAACATATAACGCCATTGACTTAATTGAATAAATAACCTTTGTATTACTCGTGAGTTCGTGGGTTTTATTTAACTTATTTCGAGAGTGTGAGCAAAGTAAAGTACCACCAGGGAGCGACCATAGTGTGTACAGCATAGTAGAAGAAGTAGGTATAATTATTAACTTTGTTTATAAAATAAAGCATTAGCAGCTTTTCTATTACATTATTATTATTTTCAGGCAGCACCTGTAATAATTTGTGAAGTTATAAATTCATATGACAGTGATGGATGCCTATTAAGTTCACTTGGAGAGGAGTAAGTGAAATCCAGTGATTGCACAATACGAGTATAACTTTATATCATTTATAAAAATATGAGCTAAATCATCTAAACATTCAATTCAAACGATCTCTTTGAAATATGTATCTACCTACGGATAAGCATGGAGCCCAAAAACTTTTATGCTATAGTGTATACTGTGACATAACTTGATTATTTCAAATCACAATGAACCAAACAAAAATCACCTCACTGAAGATACGCAGTACATTCACCAACGAACTGCTAACTCAAGTTATAAATAACACAGGTAATACATATTATAAAGAAAGAAAAAACTTCCTTTCAATAGCTAATATTCAAAATACTGTTCGTGTGTATTTTACATGTTATAACACATATTTTTTCATCAGCAACTTTAGACGAACTAAACACACATTTTAGGACATATACTTTTACTCGATGCTACTCTCATAAACTTTTACTCGATGCAAGGTCTGTAAATAATCGATTTACTCGAAAACTAGTGTACAACTAGAATGACATACATGAATAAATGGGGAAGATTTCTGCCATTTTTTCCCGCTAGGTGTCGCGATTGCTATGATCCGCTGTGCCTATCTGTGCATCGTTATATTTTAGACCTTTTTTGACGTTTTTATTAAATCTAGTAAAAATGACGAATTTTGCAGTGCCGGGATGCAAAGAAAATGGATATCATTTGTTCCCAAAAGATAAAAATAGAAGAAGGTTGTGGGCCAAAGCAATAAAACGCCCAGAATTGGCGAAATCGCAATCTTCTTATTTACGATTATGTGGACGTCATTTTACAGAAAATGATTATAAAACTGTGAAATCGTCTACAGGTGAGTAGGTTTATTTTTATAATTTGTCTTTGCTCAAATCTTTCACAGATGTCATGTAACTTGATTGTTTGAATTGCAGGTTTCAATTTACAGCGCCGAATTTTAATGAAGAATGCGTTACCATCAGTTTTCCCTTGGTCGAAGGTTCTACCACCTTCCGCAGCTGCTAGGGAGGAGAGACTGCGAAATAGAAACCTAAAAAAACAACTATTCGCTCCAAACTTCTTAGGTTTTAGTGATACCGGAACTCTGGATAGTGAAACTTCAAACATAAATAAACAGCTATGTGCAAGTTACAGCCATACTAAAATTCAGAATATTAACAATAAATCGACACAAACCTCTGTTCTGTTGAGATTATTTGCTACAGAAGAACTACTTATTGATGACACATCAGTAAAATTTTATACTGGGCTTGAAACATACAAAAAATTTAAATTTGTTTTTGACACTTTATGCCCTATGGCCTACAATCTGTGTTATAAATCAGGAAATGTGATATCTTTAAGTGTGAAAGACCAGTTTCTAATAACATTAATGAAATTGAGACGTAACTATTGTAATTTTGAACTATCAAAAATATTTAGTGTCAGTCGAACTGTAGTATCTAATATATTTGTAATCTGGGTGAATTTTATGTATGATACTTGGTCATTAATTGAATTATGGCCTACCCAAGAGTTGGTCCAATACTATACCCCAGAAAACTTTGAGAATTTTGAAAAAACAAGAATTATCATAGATTCGACAGAAGTGCCAATATGTAAGCCAACAAACCCTCTATCACAACAGGCCACATTTAGCAACTATAAAAACAAAAATACAATCAAATTTCTGATTGGTGCTACTCCAGGTGGCCTAATTTCATATTGTTCAGATGGTTATGGTGGGGCAACAAGTGATCGGCAATTAACCGAAAGATCGTCATTAATTAAGCTTTGTCAGGCAGGAGATATAATTATGGCTGATAAAGGGTTTAATGTTCAAGACATTTTTGCCTCAAAAAATGTTGCAATTAAAATACCCACATTTTTAAAGGGGGTGTCACAACTCTCCACACATGATTTGAAAAAAGATAGGGAGTTGTCCAAGAAAAGAGTGCATATTGAAAGACTCATTGGACTGACAAAAACATACACCATTCTTAAATCTGAAATTAATAGTTATTATGTGCCACTGACTTCCAAAATATTTTTTTTGTGTGTAATGCTTTGTAATTTTAGAGAAAGAATTGTTTTTAAATTTAAATAAATACACTTGTGAAAGGTAATCAAGGTTTTATTATTTCTGCATAGTACTTATATAAATATTTATTTAAAACAGCTTCTTCGAAGTAGTTTTTATAGAAGAGGTCCAATTTCTTAACCATTTCTGCTATAAAACGTTCATCCTTTGTGATATACACAACCTGGAGATCTTTATATGTATAGATGATAAGATTACAGAATTCTCGGTTAGTACAAAATAGTTGGCCTTGTATCTGATAGTAATAGGGATGTGTTTTTTTTATTTGCAGTTCTCCATTTTCTAGACACAGATAAGGTACATTAACCGGATTTATGGAGCCATACCGAGTTGAGTAAGGGCATTTTACTTCAATAATTGTGTTATTTCCAAGTAATCCATCAGGAGAAGCACCTAAATATGGTTTCTCTTTATTAATGAATAAGCCACATTCTTTGACATCAAGTGCATATTTATCACAATATTGTTTTAGGGCTACTTTTTCACTAATTTTGCCATGATTTGTAGCTCTGGTTGACACACTCCGTCTAGACATTATGTTCTTTGCAAAGCTGGGCATATTTTGGAAACTCAAATGGCAAATTGTATGAAAATTACTTGCTGTGAGACGATTTTTTCTGTGTAGATACCAATTTTCATTTTGACTGCATTCTAGTGTCTCTTTCGATATTTTCAATATCTTCTAAGGTAACATTTTTTAAATATAAGGATTTCAAAATTTTATCTTTTAAAGAAACACTGTAACTGCCATGATCCCACTCGATTGCATAAGGATTTGCAGGTTTATATAGTTGCCTTAAAGGCATAGTACTGCCTGTACAATTTAAGACAAGATTCCGTATTCTTTCATTATATTTGTCTTTGTTGATAATACCCCTATACGGATGAAAATTCAAATTCCCTTCAGTTCTTTTATAAGGTAAATTCTGTGCTTTCAGAGGTGAGGAAAAATATTTTTTCTTGGGCTGGTTAAAGCTCTGTAGCTTTTGAGTAGACACTTCCTCTAATACTATAGTTTTATGTTCAATCATATCAACTGTGCCAAACAATACAGTAGCAATATGCTTGCACTGTGAATTAACTCCAGATCCAGCTGTACATTCACAATTAGTCTCTTCTAATATACCATTTTTGTATAATTTAATATTTACCTCATACTGAGTTTTTCTCATTGCTGCTTTACAAAAACCTTTTACATATGTAAAATCATTTATTGAGACAGCCCTTAATATAAGAAGGTATCTATTTTCATATAAACTTTTTCCCTTTATTAAGGATTGACTGCATCTGAAAGAATTGAAATTTATGTTTGAATCACACTAATATTACATTGTGTGTTTGTTACTTCTTTACGCTTAGATACGTAAATTAATTTTGAAGAGTAATACAGCATACTTTTTTCCTGACAATGAAAAAAAACTTTTATGGACACAAAGTGTTTATTAAATAGATAAATATACTCACTCTCCAAGATACTCTTGTATTTGGTGTTTATTTAATGGTGGCAATGGGGTATTGCTGTTAATATCTTTATAAAAATCGTCTTTTGGTATGATCATAACTTCGCCTTGTACTGGTTCTGGGGAATACGATTTATCAGTAAAGTTAAAATTTCTATCATACGCCTCTAACCTAAAAATGAGAAGACAGCTTAGTATTTGTTTTTCACAAACAATAGACGAAGTGGATATAGTTTCACAGAAATATGGTCAAGAGTTTAATGCTAATCAGTAAAAACATTCACCAAAAAACTATAAAACCCTGCAGTAATTTTTGAATTTTATTTACTAACCTCTCTACAAGGTCTGCCTTCCTTCCACTACAGGACGCACCTCTTTTCTTTAATTCTTCTTTGAGCTGGTTTAATTTCCACGTAGAATACATCGTACAGGTAAAAAGTTAATACTAGTTATAAAATATAAATTGTACAATGGATTAAAAACGCCCATACGAAAACATTTCTCATGAACAGTTTCGAACCACAGAATGTAAATAGATCATACGCGTGGCGCCCTCTGCTTACAAAATCTTCCCCATTAACCAGAGTGGCTCAAGTCAAAAAAATCTACTCGAGTCGTATCTTTATCTGACGGCCAATGCAGTGTCTGTCTACGATTTAGTGATGAAATCTACTAACGAATTCGAGCAATTATTGATATATTATGTAATATTATTATAAATTGATTTTACGTAATGTATTTATAATGTAATATCAATTTATGTTATGTATACTAGTCAAAACAAAATAAGGGCCACTTGTTATTTTTTACGCCGGTAGCGAGAATTCATATTTTATGCATTCTCAAGTAGCTGATTGTTTATTGTGGTGTTACCTTATTTGTTTACAAACATTTTTTGAGTATTCCAGGTTCATAATTGTTTAAAGTGGGTAGTTTTTGATAGTTTATTGTAACCACTTGATTCTGCCCGATTTTAAGATAGATTTTAACTCAGTCAAAGTGACGATTCTGTCAAGAATGGTTTAAGTTTTGTTTAACTAGTGGCTGAATTAACATTTTAAAAAAGTTATGCCGAGAATTCGACGACATATGGACTTACCAACTGTAACTAGGGCTGTAGATCTTAGATGCTGCAGGATGGTGCTGGTGGTTGTCGAAATAAATCGCGGACAATGGATGTACTTGTTTTATTGCAAAATGGCAACTTAACAAAGGTCTGTGCGCTAATACAATATTAGGGCGTGCGCATCGACTCGCGGATGGTGGCAGACTAGCGGGGGCCGCAAAGACAGGCATGTCGTTGGGTCCGCGTCACATAAATCTAATATCTTATTACTAGGTAAGTACATTCGATACACACAGAGTAAATTCGATTCCTATACATATTCTTAACTACAAATGAGCGTGTCGATAACATTCCCCACCCCAGTGCTGTCACAGCACTCATTACTCAATGATATAGGAGCGACGCGTGCCGCGGACCGACGCCAGGTCCTTAAGCCAACCTTCACCTCCACTAACCTGATACGGCCATCCTTGCCGGGAAACACTTCTGTAATGAGTCCCTTTGGCCACGAGTTGCGGGTAGAATTCGGGTCCACAACTAAGACCAGGTCGCCAACTTGCAGTGGCTTCTGCTCCACGTGCCACTTTCACCTAGGTATAAGTTCTGGTAAAATTTCCTTTACCCACCTGTGCCAAAACATGTCCGCCAATCGTTGACTTGTGCGCCAATGCCTACGGAGACACAGGTCGGAACTGTCAAACGATCCAATCACAGGTAAGTTGGATGATGTACCTAGAAGAAAATGGCTTGGAGTGAGGGTTTCTACTCCATCTGGTTCGACTGAAACGTGCATCAAAGGACGACTATTCACTGTATTTTCCACTTCCGCTAGTAGTGTGCACAACACTTCGTGCCTTGGTGCCCGTTCATTTAAGACAACTTTAAGCGATGCCTTGACGCTGCGGATCATTCGCTCCCACGCCCCACCCCAATGGGGACTGGCGGGAGGGATGAAAGTCCAATCCATCCCATTGTTGACACCTACGTTACTTAGACCCTCCCGGTCAAGGTCCTGCATAGACCGTTGGAGTTCCTTGTCAGCGTCTCTAAGATTGGTGCCATTGTCTGAATACAAGTGACGTGGCCAGCCACGCCTCGCTGCCATCCGACGCAGTGCCATGATTAGAGAATCTGTCGTCAGGGAGGCAACGGTCTCAATGTGGATTGCGCGCAACGTCAAGCATGTGAAAAGGACACCGTACCTCTTTTCCCTGCGTCTGCCTACTGTGACCTCCATCGGTCCAAACAGGTCCAACCCGCAGTATGAAAAGGGGCGCTGATGATGAGCCACGCGAGCCTGAGGTAAGTCACCCATGCGAGGAACCTGCGGCTTACACTTATTAATTCGGCACACCATACACTGCGACACCACAGTCCTTACGGTAGGTCTAAGTCGTATTAACCAGTATTTTTCCTTCAGTTGATTTACTACTGTTTCTTGGTTGCCATGAGCCGCCTTTATGTGGTAGTGCCGAACAATAAGTCTAGCCACAGGGTGTCGCCCGCCCAATATTACAGGTCTCTTTACTTCCATAGTGACATTTGCAGCAGCATCGATACGACCGCCCGACCGACATGAAGCAAGCCATGTTCATCCAAGAACGGTGAGAGAGTAAGTAACTGACTAGTTTTAACTAAAGACTTACCTTTTCGTATCGATTCGAAGTAGTCAGCGAATGATTCTGCCTGCGCGTGTCTTAATAGCAGCCGCTCTACCACGGACTTGTCGACTAAAATAGTTCTACACGCAAACTTTTATGCACACACATGTAACTAAGATACAATGCAACTTGTTGTGGTGTAGGAATTTTTGGATTTAAATCATTCATTTTACACCATGTAAGCCAAGAATTCCAGGCTGTTTTATATGCTTTCATTGTAGAGTCGCGCCATGCTAATCTTATCAACGACATGTCTTCTTCGTTCCAATCTCTTAAAAGTGGATCCCACCCGCAATTTTCCAGTCCTCTAAAGACAGGTTTCTGATGTCTGGAGGAGGCTTGTTGGTCGTCAAATCTATGAAGTGATCTCCAAGATTCTTTATCATGAATGGTTGATCCTTTGATCTTTTCCTGAGATCGCCACGCCAATACACTTTTTCCCATCTTGGTGCTACTAGTAGGTACGTTCTTGTGGCATGGTTCAGGTGCTGCAGAACTCTTGCAATTAGAGTTGGATATTAATTAATTTAATATAAATAAATTAGAAATTAATTACAGCTGCCCATGACGCGCACATGTCTGCGAAACAAAGTAATAGAGCGTAGGGCACGACGAAACAGCTGTCTTTTGACGTCCACACTATACACAGATCCGCGTCAAAGGTTATCTTTTTTTTTCTAAAGATAAGATTACATTATAACACTTACTACTAATGACTCTGCGGATGATCCTATTTACCTTGAATAAAAATTAAAAAATTAAAATTTATCGAGTGCCTGCTTAGCATTAACATAAAGGAACATTGTAGCACAATTGTCACTCCTTCAACAATAAAAACTCTCAAATCTGCTTAAGTGACTAAGGAACAAAGTTAATAAGGGAATATGCATATCCAGGACCAATCTTTTCAATCAGGATGCGGCGTACACCTGCAACAGGGGAAGATGTCTGTTCACCCACTCCACTGCTTTCCCACGATCGGTCAGAAGAACGGTATCCGGGTGAGTGCTGCACCTTGTCCTATAGCATAGTTGGGCAGAGTGAGGTGAAACATGACAGGGGGCATTTTGAATCCTCATGACTCGAACTATGGAAGGTTCTGCTAAAATGTATGTTCAAATTTAATCGTAATCTTAATCAATATGTATTCGAAGGTCTATGATCAGAAGTACCCAGGGTACTCTCTACACACGGAAGTGAGGGACTGTTTGAGCAGACTAAGAACTCTGATTGTTTCCCACAGTCAAGCAGCATATAAAATCTTGAGATGTAGCCCTCCTTAGTTATAGGATCTATACTAAGAGACCTTGAACATTCTAATGAGTTTTTTGAGACAATCACAAAATACATAGAACCCGCACAGAAAGAAACAAAGTTCTTCATCTATGGAACAAGAACCACACTAGGCGCTGTACATGCAATGATAAGACTAGACATGGTTGGTATGTGGAAAACTATGGGCCATCCAATAGTCGACATGGACGCTACTATTAATTCTAGGATGGCCAAGGGAACTGTGATGAAATAAGATCTCCAGGAGGCCGCCATCGCCATAGATTGCATGTTCAAGAAAGAACTTTGCCGTCAATTTTTTAAGAGTCATAACAAATGGCCTATGCTCTCGTTTGATCCACAACTCAACCCACATATAGTATCTTGTATCCTAGAGAACGAGTGGGGCGAAACTACCTCCCTCAAATGGGACCCGATGGACTTTCAGCATGTCCACTTAAACAAAAATTTCGAATTCAATTACCATGTTGACACAATCGACATAATAGCAGACAAGGCCGTAATACCCAGATGGTCGGAATGGATATACGAGTATGACTCTAAGGCGTTTAGGACCAATCACGGAAGGTTGCCTGTAGGACCTCCTCCCTCCACCAAGAGTGTCATTATCCACTTTCTCGTGAGCGAGTCGTTTGATGGGAAAGAAATCATCAACCTAATTGATAAAGGAGTCATCCCGTCAGACTGGAGGATTATAGTTGTAGTCCCAAAAGAGCGTGAGTTCAAGCAGTTCGATGCCAGATGCTTTGGCAAGATGACTTTTGAGATGCGTGCCTACCTAGTCATAACGGAGCTGAATATAGCAGAGACCATCTTCACGAATATAAAACATCAATCCATGACACTCAACAAGGATAAACGACATCCGACGAAGACGACGAGGACATCGTACAAATTCTTGGAATAAGATAAAATATAAAGATGTACAGAAACGCCTTCATGCCGCTCCAGTTTTCAGTGCTTTAAAAGTAAATCCTCAACTGACAGGTCTTGGCAATTTAACTTCTCACAGTCAAAAAATATTGGCCAGAACGGATACTGCCTTAGGCACTATCACTCATGGCATCTTGAAAGAAAGAGCAGAGATTGAGGCAGCATTAAATGAGGTCGAGAAAAAGTATCCGGAAGCGGTTTCTGTTTTGAAACAATCTCTTTTTGCTAAATCAGATTCTTTTAAACAGACATCGGATGATTTATTACATTATACATGTGCACGTAGATCAGAAGTGTTCGAAAATCGTCGAAGAATTTTTAAACCTAGATCGGAATTCTTAGCGACAGAATTGAATGATATCCCACCTTCACGCACCCATTTATTCGACGAGCAAAAATTATCTGAACAAATCAAAAGAGAAGGAGGTTCCTTTCGAGTATTTAATTCAAGATTCAAGAAGCCATTTCAGGAAAACCAACAACAATACAATAAAACAAAGTTTCGACATCGGTCCTCGACAAATACATCAAGCACTCAACGGAACTCAAACAAAACTCCAAATAAGTTTACCAAGACTCCATCTAAACAGTCAAAGTCATCAGAAAAGCGAACCCAAAATTCTTTTAAAAGAGGAAAATTTAGCTTCACTGCAACAGGAAATACAAAATATGATAAGATTGGGTGTTATAGAAAAAACAACAGTAACGATCGGGTTCTTATCTTAAATGTTTCTCGTAAGGAAATCCGACAACACCATGCGACCTGTTTTCAACCTCAAACAGTTAAACATGTTTTTGAAACCCAAAAAGTGCAGTTTAATAAATCAAAACGATGTCCCGAATTTTCTGCAGGAACTAGATTACATATCAAAAATAGACCTTTCAAAGGCATATTAGCATGTACCGATCAAAAGGCAACATCGCCGATTCCTAGCTTTTGTTTACCGAAAACAGATTTATCAATAGGCGTGTCTACCTTTTGGACTGACAAGCCCTCACTTAGCTTTTGCCGTGATCACGAATTGGATAGCAAGTCATTTACAAAAAAAAGGCATTCGGGTAATAGTGTATTTGGACGACTTTCTGATAGCTAATCAAGACCAAAATGCTCTCAGCTGCCAAATAAAGTATGTGAAAACGGTTCTACTACACTTAGGTTGGGTAATAAACTTCCAAAAATCTATTCTTTTTCCCACAAAAAAAGTTAGAATTTCTGGGAATCTTGTGGGACACCGCAATAAATCGAAAGTCTCTTCCCAAAAAGAAAGTGAACAGAATCCTTCAGGATCTCAAAAGTAAGTAAAGTAAAGTTACAGCCCATATACGTCCCACTGCTGGGCTCAGGCCTCCCCTCATTCCTGAGAGGGTTTTAGGGCAAGGAAAATGTCCGTCGCGCTGCTCAAATGCGTGTTGACGAACTTCACATGTCTTCGAAAATATTTTTTTTCTTATTCCTCAGACATGCAGGTTTCCTCACGATGTTTTCCTTCACCGCCGAGCACGTGGTAAATCAGCACTTAAAATTGTAATTAACAATTTCATTGGTGCCGGGGGATCGAACCCGGGTTACTCGCATTCTGTTATATTTACAGCGAGCGTTAACCACTGAGCTACCAAGGCTCTTCAGGATGGCTCCCCTTTTTATATGTATAAAAAGGTTTGCGAGACGTAATGTCCACTCCAGCTTCAACCACCGCGAACGCGGAATCCGCGCCACAAAACACGAAACAAGACTACGGAGGTAGGCGAAAGCCAAACTTCAAACGACCGCACAACATGGTCAGCAACACACTGCCGCCACCAAGAATGAAATCGACCACTGAAACACCTTTGACAAATGATCCGTTATGGAAAGACTCATTTCTTATAGACGGCGAAACAGGTTTCGTGAACGAGCTGAGCTCTAACGCCTTTAGTACACCTACGCATTCGTATGCGGTAGCGAAACAACGACAAAACTGTAAGTAGTGTGGCAGGTTTTCGCATATGATATGTCTGACTCTAGCACATAGATAGATGAAATAGTTGCGTCCTTGTCAGTATTGTTTCGCAAGGACCTGCGAAATGGCCGTTACACAGACGCATACGTTTCGCTAGTGATGTTTCGCATCGCAAAGCGTCAGCTCGCGTTCTGTCGGTGAGGACAGATTTTCGCGCCATGGATGCCGAAAATACTGAATTATTTTTGCATTCTATTCGAGATTATCCCGTATTATACGCAATTGGACACGCAGATTATAAAAATACGTACAAAAAAGAGGTAGCATGGAGAAAACTTCAAGAAAAGACTCGGATAGATGGTAAGAAATTTATTGTTTATATTTCATACAGGCATACATTTTATGTTTTTAATTTTCTTTGAAATAATTTACAAATTGTGATCGAACATTAAACGCTGCTAAGTCTGCCCTATGTCTATTGGCATGCATTGGTACGAATGCTCTTAAAGTGTCCGAAAATTGTTTATTTTCGTATGTGTATCCATCTCGTATCTGCAATAAGTTATGCAAGCATACTGCAGCTTTAACAATTTTAATAGTATTATTCAAATCTGTTTCAAAGGGCCTCAAGAATATTCTAAATTTTTGTGCTAAAATGCCAAACGCATATTCTACTACTACTCGTGCCCTACTTAATGATTTATTAAATCTTTTTTTATCATTGTCATTCATTGCTGCGTCTCTAGTGAAAGGTCTCATTAGAAAGGTTTCTAATTTAAATCCTCCATCTGCAATGAATACATGTGGTGTGGTCTGTTGGAAACCTGGCAAAGGTTTTGGAGCTGGCAAATTCAGATCTCGTCCACTTTTTAAAAGCTGATAAAATGATGAGTTCTCAAATATTGCACTATCGGAATCTTTACCATATGATCCTACATCTATGTAAGTAAAGGGGGATGCCCACTGTTCATAGACACTTCGGCCATGGGTGCCCACATATAAAAGCATATGGGAATGATAATATGCAATTAAAATAATGAAATGGTTAAGGAATTGGTTTAAAAAAGTCGGGATTTTTATGATATAAAGCTTTTTATTTTCACAAATACAGTTTTTTAACGACTACTTTTACCAATTTTATTGCTTTTAATTTCTTTAACTTTTAATTCCCGACGCGTGATTTTTCTTTTGGAGGCCTATGCCAAAAGGCACACCGAACAGAGGGACTTACTTTAACTAGTATTACAATAGGAACTCAAACACAAATATTATGTAACCCCAAAGTTCGGAAATAAATGGCTATATTATTATTATTATACTATTATTATTAATTCCTGACGTTTCAGGTGCTTTATAGCACCCATGGTCACGGAGTACTGAGGTGACTGCCATCCCAATGTCAGTATTGGGACATGGAGTACCTTCAGCTTTTTATTATTATTTTTATAGTCCAATCTACGCAGATTGAACTTACTCTATCTTTAAGTCTTGCAGTGGTATGCTTGGGGTTTGTTTTAATTTTATTAATTATAGTGTCCCAAGCAGGTGGTAGTACCCAACCGCCTTCTCTACTGAAATTAGGATGTTTTTTAATTTCAGTAGCCTCACATATCATCCTTGGTAGGAATTAATGTTCTTTAACGAGGATTTGTGGTCTATCAAATCTGATGTATGTCTATCTGGTTGGGGTGAAACCCTTGACATACGGTAGTACATCAGGCACACGCCCAACTGCGGTCGGCTTCACTCGGTCACTGTGACGAAGACGTGGGACCCGAAGCTTGATTTTGTGCAGAACCTGCTTGACGTGCTGAAGCTCCGCGGCCAGGTGCTTGTTCTCACAGATCCCATATGCTCTCTGTAACAAAGATTTGCTCATGGTAACTAACTGTGAAGGATTATGGTGAGATTCACCGCTTAAATATCAGTTTGTATGGGTCTTTTTTCTATACACAGTGTGACCTATGATGTTGTTAGGATTTTGGATAACAAAAACATCTAGGAAAGCTAAGAAATTATTTGCCTCAGATATAATATCATAATTACTGAATAGAATTTGGCACAGAGAGTGATAACGATGGATAAAATTCATAGGAACAACATCCTGATTTAATATTTCTTGGGCCATATTCATGAGCCGCTCTAATTTGTTTCTTGGTATTTGCAATAATGCCTATATGCATTCATCACTATCTCCTGTTCTTACTTTCATCAAATATACAGCAAGTGCAAAGCATCCACTATGTTTACTTGACATTTTGGGCACTTCAGACAGAATTTATTGGCATTGTGCCTTTGATAAGCGTAGATAATAATGTACAGTATATTCGGGCATATTGTAAATATTTTCAAAGTCTATATGATGGTAAATATTATCTTACAATAATGTAGAAAAATCTATAATTTGTGCTACACTAAATGTTTTAATATGGTTATATATTAATTCTAAAAGTAAATACCAAGAGTTACTATTTAAATGGTAGTTACTGATTCTACATTCTGGAGGTACATAGTAATTGTATTCACAAAAATACATACCCGCAATGCTGATGGAACAGTGAGTTGATTGGAATTGTTACAACCAGGAAAAAACATTGATTTTGTGTGAGTGGTGCTCTTACAAAATTAGGCTGCAGTATATTGTATGATGTATGATCTAAGCTTTGTTGTTCTAGGTTCAATACATTACTCACTTTAGATTGCTACAAGGATGGACTAGATGATTCAGATGGTTCCCGTTCTAAAGTTTAACGTGTTGCTGCTTTATCAATCCTTCGCAATCATGACACTCACGCGATGACGATGGCAACTGAAATAATATTAAATAAAAAAAATAAGACAAAGTGAACAAAATAAAATAGATTTGTTTACTTTAAACTCAAATATAGGTAAATGTTACTTAAAACTTAATGCCCTATATTATTTAATAATTAAGGACTGACTGCCTACCAGTATTCCAAAAACAATTAAAAATCGACTGTCTTATTTCTTGGTATTTGATAAAAATTGTCCATTTCGTAACTATCTGGTGTTAGCTAGCTAATCTTATCGCCGTGTTACAAATAAGCTATTTTGTTTGTCAGGTATAGCTTGTGCATATGTTAAAAAATAAAACAACTTCATCATTTCATACATTCATCACTATCAAATATCAGCACTAGAATTAATAAATTAAAAACTGTTGAACACTTACTTTTAACTGTTGTCACACTATAATGTGATCGACAATCTCACTCCATATGAGTTCTTGAGAATTTATTTGAAAAATAACAAACAAAATAACACAATGGCAACTATTTAGTTGTGAATTCACTAGTACCTTTTTACTTGTTGAATTGTGATTTCATTTCGCATGACATATTTCCTATAGCTGTCAGATTTGATGTTGCCACATAACTAACATAAATACAACGAAACGATATCGATTTGTATTCGATTAGTAATTTAATGAAAAAATGATAATATTTGAGTTTCGCTTTCAGTTCTATACGCTTTTTTAAAATATATTTTCTTTTATTTTTTTAAATTATGTTTTAAACGTATTTTTAAGAACAGTTATGCTCTAAACAGTTCATGGTAAATCAGCTAAAAATTCACTTGTTTAATTATCATAACATGATTCCATTTTAAATGTATTGTTAAAACAGATAACAATAACAGTTAAATTGTGCAGTAGCATTTTATTGTACTCTAAAGAATTCATAGTAAATCAGCTAGTAATTCGCTTGTTTAATTATCATAACATCATAATATCCATAGCGATTCGATTATTATTCGATTAATAATTTCATAAAAAGAGAATAATCTTGGAGGTGTTTTAACTTCTGCTCGCTTTTTAAAATGTATTTTCCTTTTTTATTTAAATTCTATTTTAAGTGTATTTTTAAGAACAGTTAATTGTGCAGCTAGAAATTCACTTGTTTAATTATCGTAACATGATTTCATTTTAAATGTATTGTTAAGAAAAGATAAGAATAACAGTTATATTGTGCAGTAGCGTTATGTTATACTGCATAGAATTCATTGTAAATCAGCTATTAAATCGATTATTTAATTATCATAACTACAGATGTGAAGGCGGTTGTTAACGTTTTCAACCAAGCCGATAACAAAGGTTGTTTTTGTCTTGAAATTGATAAAAATTGTGCAGTTGCGTTTTGTTAAGCTTTAACCTTTTGAGCGCCACGCCAAAAACGCATTACCGTGTCCTGTACGCCAAAGCGCCAAAACAAAATAGTGTTGCCAAGAGTTGATATATCGATAACGTGAAATAACTTGTTTTTGTTGGTTTTTTATGCTATAAATGACTCTTAATAAACTGTATGTTTTATTTAATCTTGTTCCGTCTTCCACTCTTTTTATATATGTACTTTGTACGTATAAACATAAATAAAAAACAAACAATAACAATAAAATAGTAGTAAACATTAGCACTACTCTCCATCCTAATGACGACACTGTCGCGACTGGACGACAACGGCGTAGCTGACCTTCCCTTTTGAAACATTCTTAGAATGTTGTGTATCGATTTCAAAATCGATCTAACCGGAATATACAGACATCGATTCATAATATTTTATGTGTCGGGGAAGGCGTAGGCCAAGTGACGCACAGAAGAAAAGTCTTACACTCTTATGACAATGGGGATTTGATATGATGCTGATGCTGCTAGATGATTTTGAGACTGAGAAAGAAAATGGCACAACACAAAATGAAAAATTGCTCTTCACACCCTAAGTAAAAAAAAACATTAATTGTAATTTTGTATTATTATTAAAAAAGGTACATAATTATTCATTAATCAACAATTGTATATAATTATTCGCACTAGGTAAATCAGCCTTATAATACTAAAATCTTGGTCATGGAATAAATAAACATATGTGTTCACCAATCAAAAAATTCAATTCATCAATCAAAAATCAAAATTCATCATCATCGACGCTTTCCAAAATCCGAATGAGTTCTGAGGAATCGTTCATTTTGCATTGCTCTACTTTTCTCGGTAATCACTTATGACGTCATCAGGGTGTCGTCTATCCTTGACCACGGTGCCCAGTGAACTGATTTTCGATGACGCGCTAAAGATGCGCTAGAGTTGAGATATTAGATTTATTATGCGAAGATAATCTGATAACATTTTTTTATTCATGTAGCTAATTATAGTTTTATGTTTATAACCTTTAATTTTATTCAAATATCAATAATAATAGAAAAAAAAAACAGCATTGAGCTGAATTTTGGATAGTTTTCAAGAAATCTATGCCTCCCTCGTTTGACACTAGCGGTCAACCATAGACGACTTTGGCGTGCTGGACATAGTATTTGCTTAGATAAAAATCCATTTTTATTAGTTCAATGTTTCTTAGTACTTGTGGCTCTAGAAGACTTGTTTTTTATACTCACATGTTGCTGGGTTATTCCTATTTTGAGGAGTGTAGAATTAAAATACCTGTAATAATTTTCCAATATCTATATTTCATATTTTTCGGAGCCGGGTTTTTTGTCAACTATAGACGTCGTTGGCGCTCAGGGCCCGCAGGTGTTGGTCAAGTATAGGCGACTTTGGGGCTCAAAAAGGTTAAAGGATTCATGGTAAATCAGCTGGAAACTAACTTGTTTCGTTATCATAACATGATTCTATTTTAAATGTGTTGTTATAAACAGATAAGAATAACTTAACCGATCTTCTTTAAAAACAGATAAGAATAACAGTTCTTATCTGTTTTCAAAGAAGATCGGTTAAGATTAACAGTTAAATTGTGCCGTAGCATTTGTTACTCTCTAAAGAATTCATTAGAAATCAGCTAGTAATTCGCTTGTTTAATTATCGTAACATCATAATTATTTAAAAATTATATTAGCACTGTAATGATGACACCGTAAATAATCGATCGAAAAAGAGAATCCATTTTTTAAATGTGTTTTGTGATTGGCAACACTTTTTTTATTATTCACAAACTAATGACCTAATTTTTATTATTATGTTTCCGGTACTTTTAATTTGTGCAAAAATATTCCCATAGTTTGAGGATAAATGAATACCGCGATTAATAACCATAAATAAAGATATAATTTTTTAACAAATTCACATTGTTGGGCGTTCCATGGCCGAAAATGGGCGTCCCCCTTTGTAATGTGGATCAACTATTGCCAATAACACAGTAGAAAATCGTTTTTTATAGCAATAGAACAGTGAGCCGCTGTTAGGTGGACATTTAATAACAATATGCTTGCCGTCAATACTCCCGAGGCAATTAGGAAAACCCCATATTGTTTGAAATGCTTCAGCTATTTCCAACCATGTTTTAGTAGAAGGAACCGGGATGTACTCTGTCTGTAGTATCTTCCAAATTTGTTCGCATACTTGAGTTACTATCTTTGAAACGGTGCATTCACCCAAACGATAAGAGAAAGATATTGTTGTGTATGTGTCACCAGTTGCTAAAAACCTGAAATATTGTTACAGTTAAAACTATGAAAAATAAATGGAGAAACCTAAGGGACACTTATAAAAAATATAAACAGGGTCAGCAAACAAGCAGTGGACAAGCCGCGAAGAAGCTTGCTAATTGGCAATGGGCTGAACAGATGTCGTTCATAGATTCATCCACAAACTTGAGACAAACTGAAAGTACACCGGATACCAGTACTATATCTATAGAGAATGATTATGAAAATTCTACAGAAGCCGAACAGGTTTCAAATAATGAACAGAACGAGCTCGTCGTTCAAGAACTGGAGACAGCACGGTCTACAACTGAAACTGCAAATGAAGTATCCCGGAGAAGACGACGCCGTGTAAGCAACGACGATCCTGCTGAGAAGATGATAAATTATTTAAAGACTCGAAAATCGGGTACTACGGACGGAAACGCTACATAAAATCTTGTCAAAATACCGTGTGATCGAATGGACATGGATTTTTTAGGTTATGCCCATACTGTAAAGAAATTTTCTCTACGAAAGCAAGCTATTATTAAACTTCAAATAACACAAATTATAACTGAGGCTCAACTTGAAGAATTGAATAATAGCCGGCCAAATTCTAATTTCAGCAATGCTTCATCCTCTAGTACTCCCAATTTTTACTACGTCGATAACGACTGGAACATTTCAAGATCTATACCATCTGAAGAACTGCAAACACATTCCATCCCAGACACTCAAAACGTTTCAACTGCACAGATACACATACCTAATACTCAAACACATTCTATCCCAGACACTCAAAACGTTATAACTGCACAGATACATATACCTAATACTCAAACACATTCGATCCCAGACACTCAAAACGTTTCAACTGCACAGATACATATACCTAACAAGCAAACACATTCAATCCCGGACACTCAAAACGTTTTAACTCCTACACTGATACACATACCCAGTGGCAGAAGAATTACACAAACCCAAGTATCACGACAACAAAAAAACGAGAACACAACACGACATCAAAAAAATATACATGAATTTCTTTGTAATAGGAATGAACCGTGAATAAATACTTAAACATTACCTATAAGTAATAAATTTTCTTACTTTGAAATAATACTAACTTTTACGGAATTTATCGCGTATATTTTAACTTTTTAAATACCCGACGTTTCGAACGCTTTACAGCACTCATGGTCACGGGCAGGACTGAGATATTCAACGTCCATATGTCATAGTTAACCGCGGTTACCATAGATTAAAATTTAACTTTTGTTCCAATCTATGCAGTATGAACTTATGGTATCTTGAAGTCTTGCAGTTGTATGCTTGGGTTGGGATTTAATTTTATTTATTATAGGATCCCAAGCAGATGGTAGCAGCCAGCCATCTTCTCTATTGAAATTAGGATGTTTTTTGATTTCAATAGCCTCGCGAATCATCCTTGGAAGGAATCGGTGTTCTTTAGCGAGGATCTGCGGTCTATCAAATCTGATGTAGTGACGGGGGCGATCCTGTACGTGTTCACAGACTGCAGACTTCCCGGAGCGTCGATTCTTCACATCAGCTATATGTTCTTTAACGCGGGTTTTTATTGATCTTTTAGTTTGTCCTATGTAGGAGAGACCACATTCACAATCAAGCTTGTACACTCCTGCATCTTGCAGAGGGACATTACACTAGACCGATGGTAAAAACTGACCAATCTTCTTCAGCGGCTTGAAGTATGTTTTGATGGAAGCGCGCTTTAAGATGTAGCCAATCTTGTCAGTGACTCCTCTAACATATGGCAGTACAGCAGGTACACGCTCGACTGTGGCCGGCTTCACTCGTTTTCTGTGACGTAGGTGCGGGATTCGAAGCTTGTTGTCATGCAAAACTTGCTTGACATGGTGGAGCACTGCAGCCAGGTGTTTACTGTCACAGATCCCTCGTGCTCTCTGAAACAAAGATTTACCCACGGTAGCTAACTGTGAAGGATGGTGGTGAGAATCACCGTTTAAATATCTATCTGTATGGGTCTTTTTTCTATACACAGTATGGCTCAAGGTGTTATCAGGATTCCGAATTACTAACACATCTAGAAAAGCTAAGGAATTGTTTGCCTCTAACTCCATTGTGAACTGAATTTTAGAATTTATAGAGTTAATATGGTCTAAAAATGCAGTTACTTTATCTAAAGGTAGAATTGTGAAAGTGTCGTCTACGTACCGCTTGTAGAACCTTGGATTTATGGGAGAACTAAGCAGGGCTTTCTCCTCAAAGTCTTCCATGAATATGTCGGCGACAATGGGAGATACAGGTGAGCCCATCGCCACACCATCTACTTGCTTGTAGAACTCCTCCTTCCACGATAGGTAGCCAGATGTAAGGCAGTGTCTGAGTAATACTGCATATTCTACGGGCATGTTGTTTTCTTCCAGCCTTCTAGTTACAATTGAGATGCAATCTTCAACAGGTAAGCATGTAAACAATGACTGCACATCAAAACTGACCATAGTTTCATTGTCTGCCAGATGTAGGTCTTTAATCTCGCTGACAAAATGGTAGGAATCCTTTATGTGTGCTCTTGTATGTCCCCTGAGTGGTGAGAGTATTTTCGCTAAGTGTTGAGCCAATCTGTAAGTTGGTGAATCGATTTGGCTCACTATGGGACGTAATGGAGCATTGGGCTTGTGTATTTTTGGTAACCCATACAATTTTGGTGATTTGGCGCACGTAGGTATTATCCATTTTACGTCCAGATTTAATTTTTCGGAGTGTTTCTTTATGAGGTCACTAGTTGTTTTTAGTGTGCTATTTGTTGGGTCGTTTTTAACCTTTTTATAAGTACTTACATCCGACAAAAATTCTTGTATTTTAGAATTATAATCTGACGTATCCATGACTACCGTGGCGTTTCTCTTATCTGCGCGGAGAATCGTAAGTTCGTGTTTATTGCGTAGGTTCTTTAACGCTATAAATTCGTCTTTGGGAAGATTCGGTTTAGGCACTGAACATCGACGTAACATAGACGAGATGTCTTGACGTATCGCCTCCAAATCTTCTTTCCGCATATTGTTTTTAAATAAACAGTCCTCGACACTACAGATAATTTCTTCGTACGGTAATTTGCGGGGTGTAATTGCAAAGTTGAGGCCTTTGGATAAAACCCTAATTGTTGCATCATCCAGTGTCTGTTTTGACAGATTATAGAGCGCGATTAATCTATGATCTGTGTTTGTCAATGGTTGCTTTCGGTTCTGGCATTGATTCAGATGTTTGACATTTGACTTGTTCGTTAATTTTTGATATTTTTCTATATGTTTGTTTTTGCATTCATTATATTTATTAATTTCGCGTTTATTTAATGTTTCCATGCAAAAATTATAGTCAAACGTCGTTAAAACTTTCTTCAATTCACTGGATGATGTGTCTATGGATTTGTTTATGTCATATAGATCGGAGCGTTTTTGTTGGATTACCGTTCGTAACAACTTTTTACTCGCCTGATTTAAGATCTTAGCGCTTCCTCTAATGTCCTTTTTGGTTGATATTTTAACACACGTAGGAATGAGATTATGGTCACGGCATCTCTTCAAGAAATTTAAGGCTGTTAGATATCTTGCGCGCTTGGTCTTTAGATCTTCTAATCGCCGTATTTTATTTGCAATTACCAGTCCGTACTGGTTTACATAATGATTTCTTATATTTACGCGAACACTACACATTGAAATAATACTAGTTTTTACGGAATTTATCGCGTATATTTTAACTTTTTAAATACCCGACGTTTCGAACGCTTTACAGCACTCATGGTCACGGGCAGGACTGAGATGTTCAACGTCCATATGTCATAGTTAACTATGTTAACTATGACATATGGACGTTGAACATCTTAACTATGTTAACTATGACATATGGACGTTGAACATCTTAACTATAGTTAACTATGACATATGGACGTTGAACATCTTAACTATAGTTAACTATGACATATGGACGTTGAACATCTCAGTCCTGCACGTGACCATGAGTGCTGTAAAGCGTTCGAAACGTCGGGTATTTAAAAAGTTAAAATATACGCGATAAATTCCGTAAAAACTAGTATTATTTCAATGTGTAGTGTTGGCGTAAATATAAGAAATCATTAAATTTTCTTACCTTAAACAAAGTGCCAGTCTTTCTTTTGTTGGAATAGCCTCTCTGTAGTTTGTATTTTTCTTTTTAATATGAGGTTCAAGAAGATTGTGTAAATATTCAAAAGTTTCTGGCTTCATTCTGAAATAGGTATAGAAACGATCTTCATGTGATTAAAGTTCTAAGCACAGTATATTTTCTCCAAGTTTCCGTCGTTTCTGATTTATTTCATGCATCCAGATTCTACGCTTTCTCTTTAGTACTGACACCAGCAATAACAATTCTTCTTCTTCAGAATCTGAAAGCGATGACTGAGATGACATTCTGAAATTACGTCTGCACCTGCAGTCGTCGAAAATTACAATGGCATATCATTGCGAAAAAGTTGCGAAAACATTGCTGTGTACTAACGTTCCGCAGATATTTCGCTACGCAGTAGTTCCGCAGAGACTCGCTGCCGCATACGAATGCGTAGGTGTACTAACGCCTTAAAGAGATCAATGCAGACGCCGCAGGGAACACGCAGCTTGTTGAAACGGAGTATAAGGCGATCTCAGATGTGGATAAGTATTACGCAAAGCGATACCCGCTAGCGCGCACGCTTACTATCACCATACTTTGTATTGGTATGAGATAGCTTTGATTGCGCAGAAGCGAGGCACGTCCAGCCCTGACCAAGACAGGCTAGTCCGGTTTGTGTCGGGGTACCCATCAGCTGTCATCGCCGCCGGAGCAGGTGAATATCTGGAAGGGCCCGGCGATTTCCAGGATTTCACAGGGGTTAAGCACCTCTTGAAAGCCCACGAACCAAACGCAGAGGGCCATTTCGGAAGGAAGGGCGACGGCCCAGACCCACGGTCTCTATGAGACCCTGCCCCGCCCCGGCAATCGTCTACCAACGTGTGGTAGAGGATTTGCAGTCGAGCCAACGAGGTGGTCAAGAGAGCGACCACTGGATGCTAGGCGCCATCACACCGGCCGACCGAGCACGACCAGCGCCAGCCGCCCCGCTGCAGCGCAGCCTCCCGCGGGACGCCGCAAGCGAGCAGAAGCTCGAGCAGAGGCAGAACTCGATGAGGAGAATGACGACGAAGGAGGAAGCGAGCCGCTTGAAGAGGAGACAGATGATGAAGCAGACCGCGTGCTCCCAAACGTGAACCTGTTAGGATGGCGGAGGTCCAAATCCCTCAACGCTAACCAATTAGGCGAAATCAACGACGTGATTGTCCCAGACCCGGATGATAATATCATCATACATCGCTACAAGATAAACCGCGAACTGTTCGAACTCGTAGAACGTCGTTTGCGTGAGTGAAAGCGTTATAAGATGACTAAGATTCCGAACACCACTGGAGGAAGCATGGTCCAGCAGGTCACTTGGAAACCTTTGGAGTATGGTCAGTCGCGCTTCAAACAGGCTATAGAATATACGTGACGAGAACGATTCTGCCATTGCGTGCCGCAATAGCGGCAAAGGTAATGTGCTATAGGACCCTCAGAAGAGAGTTCGAGACCGATGACGACCGGATTTACAACACATGGTCTTGCTTTACATTCCCGGATAGAGTACCATTGAATTGGGTAAACAACCGGAATGCGCTTATACAAGTCGGAACTGACGGCTTGATAAATTACGCGCCGTTCAAGACTCAAGTAACGCCAAGGAGTGACACCCTCCAGGAGTACTTGACTAAGTTCAAGACCTTCCAAGTCAGGATCTCAACCGAGTCATAAATTCCAAATTCTAGAATTGGGAAATAGGTACTTCGCTGATAGGGAGATTGACGTTTGCTGCCTTCATCATCCGTGTGTGGATTTGTTGACTCGCCACGATGGCAACAAAACACTATGCTAAGAATGTGCCAGTTAAAGAGCAAGTAGGAGAAGAGGTGGTTTCTAAACCCCCTCCCAGACGCCAGAAAACTAAGGTTTTCCAGAAAAGGTCGATGGCGTCAGAGAATGCAGCGGCACCGCCGTTACCTCCGCGCGACCCAACATCTACAGGGCCAAAACCTACTAGGCTATCGACTGAACCCACGAAACCGAAGAATGAACCAATTTTCTCAGATATGGACATGATGGGGTTTCCTGGAGTAGCACATTAGAGTAATGAAATGTGAACAAAAATGAACACGACTCGTCGACTTGTATTATTATTGGGTCTTTTTACATTTTAATATTGTTGCGTGAATAAGTCAACGTCATACACTAGCGCCATCTAGTGTCAGGAACGAGAGCGAGGGGAGCTTTGCAGAAAATGACATCACAAATCTTTCAACAGACAGCGCCATCTGAAGAACTGAGTTTCTAGAAAATTTACACTCGAACACTCGTCGCTTTGCGCGAATTTACTTGAATATTCCGGATGCTTCATTGCTAATTTATATAAATAGGCGCTGCAAGATGCGATATGGGTAGTATTGGATTTGGCGAGACAAGCGAAGCTTCGGAGCGGAATAAAGTGAATTAGTGTGTTTAATTATTAGTGTTTTAAGTTTCAATTTGTGTAAAGTAAATTAAAGTGTTAATTTAGGTAATTTTATCGGCAATTTTTATTGTCACGAACCTCAAGCTCGTAACAATTGGTGTCAGAATTTCGAAAGCCGATTTTACCTAAGGAGGAAACGGAGGGTGTCCGTACCCGCAGTCAACGCCAGCAGGAGACGGACCAAAGAAGATTTGGTGGTGCAATGCCGCAGACGTCGGAGGGCCAGCCACCGGCTGCAGGCCCGTCAGTGGCCCCTACATCTGCAGCACCTGAATTAGGTGCTCTGATGGTGATGCTGCAGGAGCAGGCTCGCCGACAGGAAGAACAGGCTCGCCAGCAGGCGGAACAGGCACGCCGGTTGGAAGAGCAGCTGCGGGGTGGACAGGATGAACGGGCCCGCCGACAGGAAGACCAGGTTCGTCGTTTGGAGGAGCAGCTGCGGGGCGAACAAGAGGAACAGGCCCGTCGGTTGGAAGAGCAGATGCTCCTCATGAAGGACCTTCACGCTACCTTCGGGATGGAGATAAAGGAGGTGAAGGATAGGGTTGCTCATCATGACAACCGCCTGTCGGAAGCTGAAACCCAAATCGCGAAAGCTGAAAACCGAATCGAGGAAGCTGAAACGCGAATCGACCAAGTAAACAATCGGGTTGACAACGTAATGGCTGACATGAAGAAATCACTGGACGAACTCAAACTTGGAGATGGAGCTACAGCTCCCGTAGTAGCTACAACACCTTCGCTACGTGGGTTCAAGGTGCCACCCTACGACGGTACCTCTTCCTGGTCAGCCTACAAAATCCAGTTCGAGGCTGTTATGAAGGCGAACGGCTGAAATAAAAGTCAGGCCATGACTGCTCTCACACTAGGCCTGCGTGACCAGGCCTTAACAGTTCTGGAAGCTCTCGGTGAGGAAGTGACTTATGAGCAACTCCTTGAAGCATTGGAGGCGAGATATGGCGACGCTCACCTGGAACACGTCTTTCGTGCGCAGCTTAAAGATCGCGTGCAGTACATCAACGAAAACCTGCAGCAGTGGGCTCTAGAGGTGGAGAAGCTGGTGCGAAAAGCATACCGGTCTGTACCTGCGCTCATTGAAGGGAACCTGGTGCAGACATTCATCGACGGCATCCGCGACCTGGAAGTCAGAGCTGCTGTGAGGCTCGGGCACCACGAGGCGCTTAAGGACGCCTTGGCCCATGCACTGGAGGTGGAAGCCGTGCGGCAGGATTATCGTTCCCATCGCGTCAGGGAGGTTGCAGCAGCTACAGTTCGCGACCGCAACAAAGGATACAGCCCTAGGTGTTATGGCTGTGGGGAAAAGGGCATCTCGGTGCTGAATGTAGAAAGGGTGGGGCGGGAAGGGAGGTTAAGAGTTACGGTTGGCAATAAAAGATACAGCCCTAGGTGTTATGGCTGTGGGGAAAGGGGCCATCTTCGGTCCAGCTGCCCTAAGCACACCCTAGGAAGGGAAGATGAACGGTCTCAGAAAGGAAGTGCGGCTAACAGCACCGCCCAGCAGCAGCGGGAATACGACTTTACTATCAGACACTGCAGCGGGAAATCTCACGGCAACGCAGATGCATTGTCAAGAAGACCTTGTCCTGAAGATTGCAACCATTGTAGTAGCCAAGAGAGTAAGGAAGTGGTATCCGTGAGGATGCTCAGGACAGACCACCTCAGCAACGGGCGGAAGGACAGCCTACGACATGCACAGCAGGAAGATCCGGACATTAAGCCGATTCTGGGATGGATGAAGGCCCGTGGTACCAAGCCTAAGGACGTCTCAGCGATGAGTTCAACCACGAAAAGCTATTGGGCCCAGTGGTACAGCTTGCTGCTTCAGGATGGAGTTCTGTGCCGTAAATGGGAAAATGTTAGGGGAGACAGCTGTCATTTGCAAATGGTTGTCCCTAAAGCTAAAGTACCGGATGTTCTACAGCTGTACCATAATGATTGTTCCGGAGGCCATCTGGGAGTTAAACGAACTCTACTGAAGATCCGAGAACGGTTTTATTGGGTCCACTGTCGAAATGATGTCGAGGACTGGTGTCGCAAATGTACAAGTTGTGCGGCTGTAAAGGGACCTCAGACTCGTAGTAGAGGTGCATTGAAGTTGTACAATGTCGGTGCACCATGGGAGAGAATAGCCATTGATGTGGCGGGGCCGTTTCCGGAGAGTGAAAGCGGTAACAAGTATTTCATGGTTGTGATGGATTACTTCACAAAGTGGCCAGAAGTTTTCGCCATTCCAAATCAAGACGCTTCAACAGTTGCAGATAAACTAGTTCATGAAGTCTTCTGTCGTTTTGGAGTACCTTTAGAGATTCACAGCGATCAAGGAAGGAATTTTGAGTCTCAAATATTCCAGGAAACTTGCCGAGTTATGAGTACTCATAAAACAAGAACGACTTCTTATCACCCGCAATCTGATGGAATGGTGGAACGATTTAATCAGACATTGGAGAGGTACCTAGCAAAAGTTGTAGACAATCGGCAACGAGATTGGGACAAGCACATACAACCGTTTTTGTTGTCATATCGAAGTTCTGTTCACGAAAGTACAGCAGTGACACCAGCTTTCGCAAACTTTGGAAGAGAATTACGGCTGCCGGCAGACCTGATCACCGGGATACCACCTGATGCCCCACGCAGTATAACCGATTATGCAAATGACTTGCGGAACAAAATGAATGACATTTATGAGCACGTCAGACAATCGGGCCAGCAAATGTCTGAGAAAATGAACACCCGGTACGACCGCAAAATGAACAATAAAGGGTTCAACGAAGGTTCATTAGTGTGGTTGCACAATCCAGTCCGCAGCAAAGGGAAATCTCCTAAGCTTCAAGCTAAATGGGACGGCCCGTACCGGATTGTAACCAGGATCCACGATGTGACCTACCGGATACAGAAAGGCGCAAGAGGGACCCCTAAGATCGTCCATGTGGATCGCTTGGCGCGTTATTATGGGACCGATAATGCTCGGGACGAGCATGTCTTAGGAGGGGGCAGTGTTGCGTGAATAAGTCAACGTCATACACTAGCGCCATCTAGTGTCAGGAACGAGAGCGAGGGGAGCTTTGCAGAAAATGACATCACAAATCTTTCAACCGACAGGGCCATCTGAAGAACTGAGTTTCTAGAAAATCTACACTCGAAGACTCGTCGCTTGGCGCGCATTTACTTGAATATTCCGGATGCTTCATTGCTAATTTATATAAATAGGCGCTGCAAGATGCGATTGGGGTAGTATTGGATTTGGCGAGACAAGCGAAGCTTCGGAGCGGAATAAAGTGAATTAGTGTGTTTAATTATTAGTGTTTTAAGTTTTAATTTGTGTAAAGTAAATTAAAGTGTTAATTTAGGTAATTTTATCGGCACTATTTTTATTGTCACGAACCTCAAGCTCGTAATAATATTAACCCTACGATATCGAGAATGTCTGTATTGTACATGAGTACCGCGTTTTTTTTTAAAATAAAATTAGAATTAGCTCCCTTTCTGGTCAATCCATACTCGATCGATGCATTTATGTTGCATCCTTGATATAACTATATTGAGGGGCTACCACGATAAAAACTCTATGCTCCAGAAGCAATATTAAAAAAAAAATTAAAATAAAAAAAAAAAAAAAAAAAAAGAAAAAAAAAAAATTTAATTAATCACACTGATTCACTTTATTTCGCTCCGAAGCCTCGCATGTCTCGCCAAATTCAATACTGCCCCGATAGCGGTTTGCAGCGGCTTTAAATACACCTTTTACTCCGATACATCCAGAATATTCCAGTAAATACGGGCGCCAAACGACCAGACGCAGAAAGTTCTAGTGTGGGGCTTCTAGAAAGCTTAATTCTTCTGTTAGATACTAGATGGCGCTGTTGGTCGGAAAGATCAAGATTGACATTTTCTAGGAAGCCCTCCTCGCTCTGGTCCCGACACTAGATGGGACTAGTGCCAGGTACCTGACGTCAACTTAGGCGCGCAACACTGCCCCCTCCTAAGACATGCTCGTCCCGAGCATTATCGGCCCCATAATGAGGCACGCTCTTAGGGACGATCGATTACAGGAATGTGTCCATGCCCTCCTCGACATAGGTAAACCTAATCATGTAGACTTGATTCAACTTATAAAGGATCCGGATAGCATACCATTGAACATCCCACCTCAACCCGAGAATCTTTTTTAGGAGGAGGTTGAAAGAAGGGCTACTGGGAATCATAAAAAACAAAGAGATGTTGGCCATTTTTGGCACTAAAGCGGATGAGGAAGAGGAAAGATTGAAGAGAGACCTCCTGTCCATCAATCCTGTCTGCCCCAAGCTGCTCTGTAAGTTGTGGCAATTGTCCAATATTGGCCATAGGGAAAAAGTTATCAGCAAGTTTTCCACCTCAAGGTCTATCCAGCAAGTTTCTATGACTGTCTGGATAGATGAGAAAGCACTACTTGAAACAGTGAAGACACTCGAGATCCGAACATGCAGATATTACATGAAGGTAAAGCACAGCGGGTTCTCCAAGATGCTGGAGCATGCTGAGTGTGTGACGATCCTGGCACAGAAGTTAAGAGAATGGCTTTGGGAGCTCCCTCTTGAAGGTATTACCATGCCCACTCCTTGTGATAAAGTGCTGATTGTACCTTGGAATACATTGTCAGAGGAAGCGGTACCATCATCCATCATGGTCATATGGTCGGGTGAAGCTCATCGTGATTGCTTTCATGAGAGGGGCCCAAAAACACCGTATATAGGTTCACAAACCCAAACCCGAACTCGTAAAGCCCCTCTGCAGGTTATCGAGGTAGGTCCTCTGATTGAAAGCATAAAAACCATCTTAGAACTGAGAAGCTGGATAAAGGGGTGTTAGGGCATGCATGATCTCCTCCGAGTCCTCATTGAGGAGAAGACAAAGATCTCACTAGAGGAACTGGAGCCTTTAACGGCACAAGTTTACTCAGGACCCTTATCCCACAGACTCCCTTGTCCAGCCCTGAGAAGGGGGGCCATGTGGAACGGTTGTTCTACCATCTTGACATGGTTCAGAATTGTGTCTGATACCGCAATCCATTACGTCAAACAGGGCACCAACTACAATGTATGTTTTCAGGAGGTCCTCTATGGTCTATCCGTGCTCGCGGAATGGTATCGCGAGTATAGGTATCTCCCTTCCACTATGGCAATCGTCTTAGATAAAAAGTGCTGTATCTGGGTCTTGCCCCCGGAAACATTCTTCCTTGACTCTTGTACGTACACAGGTGTGCCTTTAACCCAAGTGATAGACGATATCACTCAGGTGGAAGACCGAAGGTTAGTGCCCCCAAATATGGAGGCATGTCCTAGATTCTCATACACCGTCCACATGGCCCATAAACTTGCAGCATGGATAATCCATATCGGGAGCGAAGAGTTTGTCACTTCCTTGGAGAACAGAGCCATCAGTGAGAGCATCCACGCAAGTTTCCTTAACTTGACCGAATTTAGGGGAGCAGTCATCGAGGTCCTTCTGTCTTTTACTTGATGATTTATGATAGGGAGTTCTCTCAAAGGATCACATACTTTGACAATTTGTACGCCGCCAAAAAAAACGGCCTATGACGTTTCTGGACACCATCATTACATGTGGGTAGGCTGGAGAACTTTACATGTTTGCCGGTCTGTCTGCTTCAGGACGAGAGAGTGACCTGAGATCTGCATTGTACCTGTCGTTCACCCGTTGTGTGGATGAAGGGTTGTTAATTATAAATTTGAGAATTGGGAACGTGATTTGATAAATAATACACAATAAAGGTTTAATCTGTATATTTTTGTTATCATTTTCCTCATAAACATTTTCGTTGCCTATATTATTTTTTTAACTCTCATATCCACACTAATAGCACTTTTGCTGCTTCTATACAATCGAAAGCAGGTACCTCAACAGTAAAATTAGCACCTATACAGCTGAATATCCATCAAGCTTTTACAAGGCTTGCGTACCCAAGGGCAAATCGTTCTGCTATCGATCACCACTTCTAGTACCCACCACTACAAATGTCTACAACTCCCGCAATTCAGTGAAGATTCTGACCTTAAGAAATGGACCTCAAAGTAATGTACTGACATGGAAAGGAGGATGGCCAAATCGTACCAGACGACGAAATGATAGCGTCCCAATATGAAATATTTACGTAAAATACCCTTATTGTTTAAGATCGTAAAACACACTAGAAATACCTCTCTAAGTCACCACAAAAAAAAAAGTTATCCATTTATTTCTATTTTTGTAACTGTTCAAAATTATTTCAAATTATAGTTTCAGAACGCACCTAATGACGATTCATTTCGTGTGTGAAAGGACTTGGTATTCAAAGACTGTAATTATTCACGTTTTTATAAATAGTTGGATGCATGATTGTAAAAACCCACCTCCGACCACTTTTTCCGAAATACTGTTTATGGTGGATTTATATTCTCTATGGCAAGACAAACTGTTTGAGTGTAGAATTACACCTCAGTCACGTAAGTATCCCAAAGTTACAGCGTCACGAAAATTTCACTGAGCGTAAAAATCCACATTATCCTGGATGAGGTTTTTTTTACAACCAAACATGTGGCAACACTTGAAACTGACAGCTGTCAATATTGACATTTTTAACCTTAGTTTCGTTAGTTTGAACAACTGAGGTGACTGTAACGGACACTAATTACTTGTATTACACAAATTAAATTAAATTTTACTGCTTAATTGTGAAAATGAGTGCTGAAACGGAGGATAATGTAATTTATTTAAACCCAGGTGAGTCTTCCTCGGGTGAAACGCGTACAAAAAAACGACGTGATAACTCTGCTGATTATTCTCGGAATAAGATCAAACAAGCACGTATTCATGGGCAGGCTTATGTGACGGCAAAAAATAAAACTGTACGGGCTAAGACAATAGGACCTCCATGCAAGTGTGCTAAAAAATGTTGGGAAACCATATCCAAAAATGCAAAATTAGAAAACCTTGCAAAATTATATAACTTGGGGACAAAAAATGAACAAGATATCTATCTCCAGGGGTTAATATCCTGTACGGACGTAAAACGACGCCGAGTGCTGAAGGATATCCCATTGAGACAGAAAATGTTTACATACACCGTTCAAGTTTGTAATGAAAAGAAAGAAGTATGCCATTCTGCTTTTCTTAGCTTGTTTGGTATTACTAAAGACCGTGTTAAGAGGCTCCGTGACTTGTTGGTTTTGGGTGAAATACCGGAAGATAAGAGAGGGAAATCGAAAACGGTCAATGCGTTGTCTGGTGATGAAATTACCGCAGTGATCTCTCATATATCCTGTTTTCCAGCAAAAGAGAGCCACTACTCTTCTGGCATAGTAAAGTATCTGCCTGCTGACTTATCAGTAAAAAAAATGTTTCGACTTTATAAGGAAAAATACCCTGGAACTAGGATTAAGTACGAATATTATAATAAAATATTCAGGGAGAACTTCGCTCTTCGCTTTGGACGACCAGCAGTAGATACGTGCTGCCTCTGCGAGAGTCTGGACCTGAAAATCAATTCGAAAACCCTAAATAACGTAGCTAAAAAAGGTAGCTTTGGCCGAAAAGCTAGTACACAAGAAGAGGGCAAAGAAGTTCTATAATAAACTTCAAGAAGCAAGGCAAAGATCCCAAAAAGATGAAACGTTTTTGGGAATTTGCTACGATTACATGCAAAATGTGTCACTGCCAATAATTCCAGTGCAAGAAATATTTTATTTGCGGCAACTGAGCGTTTCTATCTTCTGCATTCACAATTTGAAAACGGGAAAAAATGTCCTGTACGTATATCATGAAAGGCAAGCAAAGAAGGGACCGAACGAAGTATGTTCGTTTATTATGACATACATTAAAGAGTACGTCGACAAAAAGGTGATAGAACTAATGCTCTTTTCTGATAACTGCGCGGGGCAGAATAAAAACAATACAGCAGTACGAATGAATATGGCCCTAGTTGACAGTGGGCGTTTTAAAAAAATTCAACAGATTTTTCCGATGCGTGGCCATTCTTTTCTGCCGTGTGATAGAGCATTTGGGATTATAAAAAGAAGCCTTCGTCGTAAAGAGAGGCTGTACAGTGTACAGGAATTAATGAAATTAATCGTATCTTCGAGCAGGCAGAGTGATTTTTTTTACAGTTCACTTAGTCAGCGGAGAGCATGTGACCGAGTTTAAAAAATGGTGGGTTCAACATTTCAAAAAAGACTGCACTATCCCTTGAAACAAAGGATCGACGAATTCCGAGAACGGAGAAAGTAAGCTTCAGTATCTCAAAGTTCCATCACCTCACATTCAAAAAGATCGGCTGTGATGTGCCGGTAAAAACGCAGGAATTCATTGATGGACTGACAAAGCATACATTTTTGTTGAAGATAAGACCACAGATTACCGTATCGCTACCGAATGAACCTGCATATGGACCAAGGCAGCTCTGCATTAATGCAAAGAAGATGCAAGACCTGAAATAATGCGTTCAGTTTGTGCCTGAAGACGAAAAAATTAAATTCTGGGACGAAATATTGCAGTGGCCTACAGCTGAAAATGTCGAAGATGAAGAATTGGATTAATTCTGTTAGTTTTTTATGAAAATAAATATTATGAAACATTCGTACAAATTGGACTTTGATTGTAAAAACACACTTTGTACATGATGACTGTAAAAATCCACCTCATCCCAAAACTTTAAAAAAATCAAATAAAAAAAATCTATGAATATATTATACACCCACTTTTTAACATACCATATATTAAATATTTTTCAACATAACTAGTAAAAAATAAAAACATGTTCTTCAGTTTTTTTTACATCAGACAGTTTTCATTGATTTTCTGAAACTTTTGCATTTGGTCTGAGGTGGGTTTTTACAATCATGCATTCAGTTATTAATTTTAATTCAATTCAATTAGTGCGTAGACATCAAATCAATTACTATGCTGATTTATTATGTATTGGATTCTTGTCATAAAAATAATTATGTAGGTCATAGTAAGCTTAACGTTTTGTTCAATTAAATATGTACAACGGAACGTCATTTGTCATCGCTTACTCTGTGATCATCGATTTGCGCCAGTATTATTGGTTATTTCTTATTTCCTTCTGTTGTTTTGACCTCGGTATTTTTCTACGGACTGATTTTTTCACATCTTGGATAATTGTGAGAAACATCATGCAAACACAACAAAGACAACTAGGTGTGCGATTGCTTTGTGTTAATTGTAACATATGCATTGATAAACTTCGCCACCATCTCGTTTTTAGGGTTCCGTAGTCAACTAAACCCTTATAGTTTCGCCATGTCTGTCTGTCCGTCTGTCCGTCCTCGCCTAATCTCTGAGACCGTTAGCACTATAAAGCTGAAATTTGGTACCAATATGTGTATCAATCACGCCGACAAAGTGGTAAAATAAAAATTGGAAAAAAATGTTTTATTAGGGTAGCCCCCCTATATGTAAAGTGGGAAAATATTTTTTTTTATTTCAACCCTAACGTGTGATATATTGTTGGAAAGGTATTTAAAAATGAATAGGGGTTTACTGAAATCATTTTTTGATAATGTCAATAATTTCGGAAATAATCGCTCCGAAAGTAAAAAACAATGTGTCCCCCCCCTCTAACTTTTGAGTCATAAGCTTAGAAAATATGAAAAAAAAATCTGAAAGTAGAATTTTATAAGGACTTTCTAGGAAAATCATTTTCAACTTGGATGGAAACAACAGTACCCGCTACCGGGAGCAGTTGCAGGAGCGCGAACATAATGGACACCCACCTTTGAACTCATAAGTGGGAACACTTATTGTGACGGACGGGAAACTACGGAACCCTACACTGAGCGTGGCCCGACACGCTC